TTTCTTCCTTTGAGAAAGGAAAAGATTTCTCTTGTCTGCCCAAAAATCATCACTAAAATTCTTGTCTCTCGGTCATTGCATTAGAAAGAATATAAGTAACATTCCACCCGCGAAAAGTTAGAAGGTTGAAAGAGCGTGCAAGTGTGCTCATATATAGGGAGAGTTTATTTCAACAACTCAAGCGATTTGTGGGAGCAGATAGTATCTTTAACGATTTTTTGGGGACTAAAACATGAAAGATTTGGAGGAGTAATACCGAAATAACCCAAGAATCAAAGCGATTGAAAGAGGTTCCACCTGCCGACGGCATTTAATAGGAGTAGTGTATGGTTCCATGTGGGTTTGTGATGGTTCGTTTCTTCTTGTTTTTCTTCTTTTTAATGTCACTACTAGAAAACTGGGTATTAAGAAAGGAGCTTTACCTAGAGACAAAAAATCCAGCCTGTTGCTTAGCAGTACTCGGGAAATTACACCCATGGGAATCAGATACAACACCCATGGCGGGTCCGTGGATTGTGGTCAATAGCAATAAATTTCTCATGTCTGCTATTACTAAAGGCTTTCTAACCATAAATTAATGATGGTGATCAGTGATCAATGTCATTCTTATAAGAAAAATTCGTCAAGGACCTAAAATATGAGACTAATGGGGCATGTGAGGTGTCCCACTCCTATTGCATAATGAGCTGGTCAGCATTAATGATGACCAGCTCATTATGTTATAGGAGGGGGACATCTCGCATGTCCTCCTGTTAGTCCCATATTTTAGGTCCATATAACAAAACTCTTCTTAAAAAGATTCTAAATATAAATTATTTAAATATTAAAATTTTGCCTAATTAATAACGTCTAAGATCACTTATCCTCGTCTCCCAATTCTCTCACGCGGGCCCAAAAGCCCTAGCGGGAAAAAGAAATTAATCCCACCTTGACCAACGTCTTCTCATGAGCATCGCGTCCATCTCCTCTACCAACAACACCTTCATCTCCGACGAGCGACAATCTGCTTCTTGCGTGCAACATCAACAATTTGTTGCTTTCACCCAAGCATCTCAAGGTAATAATTTGTGTATTCATTATTTTATTTTAGGTTTAATTTCTATACTTTTAATCAATTTTAGGGCTTTTTTTCAATTATCATCTAGGTATCACGGGTAGAAGATAACACTTAGTAGTTATTAACACGGGATATAGACGGCATATATAATTGGAACAGTGATCTTGGACGTGTGATTGAGTATTTAATTTTGTCTATCGTTTAATTTTTTATCTTAACTTGATGGTAATTATCATAAACCCTGCATAATATAAGATGTCATGCAAGTGATGTTGATGACGAATGGGACACCAAATTTATTGTTGTCTATTACGACCTATAGCAGAAGTTGTGCGAATTATGATATGTTTTCAATTTTATGTTTTTATATTTAATCAAACAGTTTTTAAATTTTCTATCTAAATTGTACATTTAAATTTGATTTGTATACTGTGTATGAAGACTAAAGAAAAATAATGGCACCCCACCAGGTCCACTTGCTTTGATAAAGAGGACTTATAATCCTCCTAATCCGAAACAGAGTATCCCAAAGAAGACGAAAGAATTATTGATGGGTAATGTTATCATCTGCATCTTATTAAATGCAGTAATGTATAATCTATATGAGTAGTTATTGTTTTATATTTGCGGACAGAAATGAGTAACATGGCAGCAAACGTCACTCGAAATCCTCAACAATCAGAATCAGATTCAAGGACAAGGGAGGAGATTGGGATAAATTGTATTGAGAAGGTACTTGCGGTGAAAAAGGGCTACAGAAATCTATTGAACGGTGTGGATGTTGTCCCTGTTAAACAAAAAGGTAAGAGAAACTTGACCATTCGGTCTACTGAAAATGGTGTGGTAAGTTTACTTGATGGATTCCACTGTTTAATTATTTGATGTTACATTACTTACATGTGTGGAAATGATATGCCCTTTTATGAAAGCATATGAAAATGACTTGTGTCCTTGTTGAGCACGACCTCACAAACAAAGGCTAATATTGGTTATTAATTCCTTTTAATATCTTTAGTGAAAACTATTGTTTCAGCTTTGAATATTTACTTTGGCTATTTGGTACCTTCGCATTAAGAAAAGAGAGTTTACCATAAGAAATCACATAGGGTTCATTTCCTCAAATATGCTTAATTGCTTAAATAAGGTAGGTACTATGTTGTTTTCGGTCGTCAAAGTACGACCCTTTATCAGCAACGGACACGTGTCCCCATATATACACCGTTCAAACTAAATTGGCGGTCAGGGGAACCAAGGCCGCCGAGTCGACATCACCTTAGGCTGACTCCACGAAGAGCGGTTATTGTGCGGTCATTTTGTCGAAACCCGCCACGGCTTCGACTAGTTATTCAACGCCTCACGAGGACTCGAAAGGCGTTACTTCTCGACCAAGCCAAAGGACGACTTCAACCTCGAGTCTCTCCTGCTGACAGCACGTAGACGTCACATTTATTGTTTGGCAGGCATCATCATGCCTCTAGCCCCGAAAGACTTCATGATATATCGGACCACATCGGCACCACCATGCCCCTAATCACTTCACATTAAATGCTGAAGTGATCTTTCCTCTACTCGCCGACCGATACCTATAAATTAGGTGTTGATGCAGCTGCCAAGCCATACTTATTTGCCGCCATCTTGTTCTCAGTCGAAGTGATCGTTCTACCGTTTTAGCACCATTATAAATAGAGATACTATTCTCAACATGAAAAAAATTCTAAGGGATTTTTCCAGGCTATTCTAAGCTATATCTGATAATTATACTGCACTATACTAAAGAACTCAGAGAGTTCTTTATTTTCTCACTCAAGTTCATCAACTGACTTGATCGTCGGAGGAACCCTCTCACGAGTTGCTACTTGTGCAGACAGAAGCTACTTAACTCAAAATCAGATATTCGAAGAAGTGAGCGCCCCCCTAATCAACCTCACCCCCACCATATATTTGACTGTTTGATTATTCATTATCAACAGTTTGGCGCCCATTATGGGCTTCGTTCTTTTTCGAGCAAGTATGTCTTGTTCCGAGTATAGGGATGACCAGTCTCACCCTGAAGGACCACACCAGAGCTATGTTACTCAAGCTCAGCTTAAATAAACGGCTCATCAGATCTCTTAATCCCTCAAATAGTAACTTGCTACCTTCACCAACGATCTCATCAACCGGCTTTCATAGCCGCAACAAGCTACTTCAGCTGTCCCCCCTCCTTATGAAGACTAGCGATCGGAGACTCACCTTCATTCTGGATCACAACAAATAGTCCTGCCTTGGGCTCCTCATGTTGGTGCAAACAGTTCAGGGATCAGGTTGAGTATGCGACCATGTCGCCTCATTGTTGGTCTTCTTGTTTTGATGATGTTTAACAAACAATTTACCACTAATGTTGTTTGTCTAGTATTTGTGTTTTCTTATTTATTATAGACAAACAACGTAGTTGGAGGTTGGATGGATTGCGCTTCAACGATGATATCCAAAGGAGGTTGGCGGAATGTCGAGTTGAAGCCTATACAATTCAAGTTCTTCGTATATATATATAGTCATATATATATGTATAAGTTTTGGTTTCTATGCATATATATAGTTATATATATACATACATGTGTTTTGAGTTTTTATGATTATATATATGAAATTATATATTTCATATTTTCTATTGTGTTTTTGAAAACATTGCATAGAATATGCAATTTTGTGAAAATATTGTATTCTTAGTTTGTAGACTTTAATATCAGTTTATACATGTTTTACTAAGTCTATAAAAACATTTCACAAAGTTTCAAAAGTTGGTTTATGTCAAAACATCAAAATTCAAGTATCTCATATTTTCATGTTTTGGACTATTTTATAAAATGATGATGTTTTACTGTAGCATGTTTATTATCATGTCTACAATCATTCCCCAAAGTTTTACATTTTTTGGAATTTATTTGATATTTTTAAACAGCATTTTAAAATCAGCAAATCAGTTTTCTGTTATATCAGTTTTCGGTCGACCGCACCGGTCGACCGAACCTGAGGTCAAAAGTTCACTGGGCTGACAGATAGCTGTCGGTCGACCGGTCCGGTCGACCGATGAAAATTTTCGCTCGATTCTCAGACTGGAACCTAGATCGCGGTCGACCGCAAGAATTTCCGGTCGACCGCCGCTCAGTCTGACTGTTTCCAACAGCTAGTTTTGTTACCGTTGGCTGGGGTTTTTGGTCTTTTGTTTGGGAACTTTGGCTGAGATTTCAAGTGGGTATAAATACCCTATTGCTGTTCTCTTTCAAACTATCCAAGAATGTTTTAAAGAAGTTTTTAAACAAGTTTTAAACAAGGGTTTAAGTGTGTTTAAGGGTTTGTTTTGTTTGTGAAGAAGTTTTCACAAGTGGAGGAGATCATCTTCTTGTTTGGGCTCCAATCTCCATCTCTCCATCTTGTCTTCTATTGAGAAGTTTTCTAAACTCTACTCTAGCTTTCATTTGTTATTTGTCAATTATCATTTCTATTAAAGCTAGTTTTATATTGAGTTTAGTTGATTTGATTTTATCTCATTGTTACACACACCCACTTGAGCTTATTGTATTTGCATACATAGTATATTAGGGTTGTGAGAGATTGTAACATTGAGTTGTGCTTAATTGTGTTCTCATCTATTGTAGAGAACAAATTTATATTTGTTACATTGTGAGTGTTGTAAGGTTTTCGGTGAGCTAGAAAACCGAGTGTGTTGTGATGTTTTCGGTGAACTAGAAAACTGATTGTGAGGAGTGACGTTGATCGGTGAGTGTTAAAAACCGACACTGTGAGATGTAAACGTTATTCGGGTGAGCGTAGAAAACCCGGTTGTGATAGTGGGTAAGAACGAGCCTCAGCCTTCTCCAACAACTCATTAATTGCGGTAGGGGTCAACACGTCTAATTCACGAATGGGCTCGCTGGAATTACCCTCCAAATTCTGGAACAAATAGCTAGCAAACTGCTTCAAGCTGATCTGCCTCTTCCTTTTCGCTAGAGCAGAAGTCTGGACCAAGGAGGTATAATAGTGACAAGTAAGATCCCAGAGAGTGTCATACATATCGGGAGTATCTTTCTTCATACACTCCAACTGCTGGTTCGAGGGAAAATACTCCTGATATGGACAATCCCCTATCGGAAGACGAGAAACCTGATGCATCTCATGCAAGGCCAACCCTAATTCGCCACCGCTGGTCAGGAAGGTGTTACTGTCTCAGAGCTTGGTGCTCTTTGATTTAAGGTCTAATCGCCTTGAGTTAAAGATCCAAGTTATCTTTTTGTGCTAAATCTTATTTTGATTGCATTTGTATCTTGCTTGCCTTTTATATTATGGATATGCATGGTTTAGGTTATGCTATTAATATTGCCCCTCGTTTAGATAATTTTCCCTATGCCCAATGGTGTGTTAGATTTAAACTTTTTGTTCAATCTAAACACTTTGATTTATGGGAAATTATAGATGATGCTTATATTGTGCCCACTTTGGAGAAATCAAAGTGGAATAAAAAAGATCATCGTATGTTTACAATGAACAATATTTTGTTAGAATATTTGCTAAATGCTTTTAATTCATCTATGTCTAACAAATTTGTTCATTTTGATAGTGCTTACAATTTATGAAAATTCATAGAAGCACATCAAGGCAACTTGGAGGAAATCTGACGTAGTTTGGAGGATTATTCTTCAAGTGAGTGTGGAGCATCATCATGCACACGACCACTAGGCGATAGCCCTAGTGTGGTAAGCGATTCGGAATCCGAAAGTGATATATCCATCAATGAACTCGCTTGTGCATATGATAAATTAATGCATGCCTATACTAAGTTGCATAATAATTTTATAGATTTGAAAAGCAAGCATGTTAATTTGAAATCCGATCATGAGTTGCTCGGTTCCAAATTTGATATCATTGCAAAAGAAAATATTATGCTTAAAGAAAACAATGATATGTTAAATTTGGAAAATAAAAAATTAACCTCATCCATCACTAGCTTATCTCATGTTAAAAATAATGTCATGTTAGAAGTAGAGAACATACAAAATGGTACTGCTATAAATAACTATGTATGTTCTACCTCTAATAACAATACTTGTATGCATAATGATGAGTTGAATCATGTTAAGGATCACATATCATCTTTAGATTCAATCCTTAAAACATGTATTGTTAATCATGATAAGCTTATGAACATGTGTGCTAAGTCTCATGCTAAAACATCTAAACATCCTATTCATCATGCACACATGTATAGCAAAGTCTACAAATGCACAAATTGCGGTCGTAAAGGCCATATTGCTAGATTTTGCTATGATGCATATAACCCACTAAGATTCACTTTAATCCTCCTTGTGCATCTCATCAAGCTTCATCATCACTTTTTGCACACACACATGCACCCATTGCTCATCATAAACATGCACGTGTGTATAAATGTGATCTATGTGGTCGGTTTGGCCATTTGGCAAAGTTTTGCTTTGACATGAAAAAGAATTCTAGTTTGCCAAATGTTTTTCATAGACCATGTGCTTAAGTGTGATATTTGTGGTAGATTTGGCCATTTGGCAAATTTTTGTTATGATTTGAAAAAATATTCAAACTTGCCAAATTTCTCAAGTAGACCACCTTTGTTTAATGATGTTTCTCATTTGCAAAATAATTTTAAGAGACAATCTTCATTTGCAAATGATTCCCGTGCACGAGCTAAAGGTCCACAAAAACAAATAGATCTCTTTCATTGCACAAATTGCAATCGGAAGGGTCATTTGAATGAATATTGTTTTGACCATAATAGTGCACCACATGTGCCCAAGAGGGTTCATAACCCTAGGGCTTTGAGCTTTAATGATAGGGGTCATGTCCCTAAACCTTTTGGTACCAAAATTACTTGG